TATTGACTTGATGATATAATATACTATAGAACACATTAAATAGACATGCAGCTTCAGCAATTGAGGATATTTCTTGATTTTTAATAGAATTTATCATGAGTTCAATTCTTCCCTCTATTTCTATAGAGATTCTTGCCTTTTTACTATGAATTAATGGCATAATTGTGCATTGAATGAAATGAAACAGTAGATTAAAGCATGTTGAAACTGAATCTCTCACTTGTTGAGGGTTCTCACTCATTGGTGGATTACGTTAGTTAAAACAGCATATATGATGACTAAGCAATATGTCAAACTTCAAAAAATGTTGATTTGTTATAGTTTAGCTACGCATTTTCTCGGGATTAGGAAACTAGATTATATCTATCAAGACAGCAATGGGTTCACCTGTGCAGTTGGAACAATCGGCTAAGGCTGGGAAGAAAAGGCATCGAGAAGATGACGATGATGTCCAGCCAGCAACAGCAGCAATCTCCACAGCACCGCCAGCAGCGTTAGATCCGAGCGGTAGTAAAAAGAAGAAACGCAGGAGAACGAAACAGATTGTTGAAGATCCGAAAGATGCGGGCAAAAAGGATGGTGTCGACGAGTCGATTGGAAAAATGGACGGTCGTCTCCTTGCTGATCTCTTCGCACAACAGGCTAAAAGACACAACAGCGATTTGACTACTGTGGAATTAGATGATGTTTATGTACCAGGTGAGATAACTACATATTTGACATTCATGCAGAAATTTTGTCGGAATATTACCATGTGTCCCTACGATATTCATCTTCGAACTCCGCTGACATAGAACAGAACAAGCATTTCTTAATACATCGTCCTGGAAGTCGCCGAGAAAGCTGGAAAACCTTCCCATGTTTCTCAAAGTTTATAGTAAGAAAACGGGGGGCTCTCTTTCAACAGCTCCTGCAGATATGGGCAGCCCTCATACGATTGTGATTACTCTTGCGGGCCTTAGAGCTGCTGATATCACACGGTTAGTATTACCCCTCCAAGGCCCCCGTATAATAGGCATGCATTATGCACTGTACACTCATGTATTAACAGATTTCTCTAGAGCTCTGAGACAATTTCAGACAAAAGATTGTGCTGTGGCAAAACTCTTTGCCAAACATATCAAACTTAATGAAGCAAAAGAGTTTGTGAAAAAGAAAAGGTAAGTCTGCTCTAAAAAACACCAACGTCAAGCAACAATTTGCTAAATCCCACTAGAGTTGGCATTGGGATTGGTACTCCTGTTCGATTGAATGATCTGGCCAGCTCTGGTGAGTTTTTGCGTATGAACGTTTCCTGCAGTTAGGTTCCAAACTTTTGACTTGATACTCTAGGGGAACTGAGTCTGAAACATCTGAAACGGATTGTCATTGATGGCTCATATGTCGACCAGAAGAAGCGAGGTATATTCGACATGAAAGATTTGCATCTCCCTCTTCTTCAATTTCTCAATCGCGCCGACTTACGTGACCGGTATACTTCCGCGGATGACAACGTCGAAATTCTTGTTTTCTAAACCTCGAGAGTTCTGTGTTACTCGCGTTCATATATGGAGTGGCTTTACAACGCCTCCGTGCAATTTCAGACCTTGGGTGAACCCATAGCGTTTCTTGTATGTAATACCTCCATCAATCTGAAATTATCCATCATCTACCCAGGTTCCTGCAACGGCAAATAGGTACCGTTCCTGCGACTAGGGTGTGATTTACAGGGATCAGTTGACAGTGCCAACAGTGCCTACCGGAAGATGGGCAGGATTCCGTCAAGACACTGGATGTTTTGGGAAAATTATATATTCTTAATTTGATCGCGCAGAAGAGCTGGGATAGACTTGGAAGCGCCAGGTTACGATTCCGATTAAACCTATCGAATGTGGAGATCTTTCGTGATAATCACAATCGGCGAAATTGCCCTGAAGAATTGAGACGGGGCGATGCCTTGATATAGCTAATCTTGTCTCTATATATGAGCAAATCTTAGTTAACTTGCATCTTCAATCCATTCCAGAATGACTATACCACGGCGTCCAGCGGTATTAAGGACAAGTTGGACGAAGTTCGATGCCCGGTTGAGCCAAATCTCTGTGATAATCACCAACATTTGACTCGCAAGATATACGTCCATTCGTAAATGTTACTCATTAATTTCCTCCTATGCGAATCTAAAGAAAGGAGATCGCGATATTTCATTGACCATCTCTAAGGATTAAGTCGTAGCAGAGTGCGTTACACGTGATATCGACATCTCCATCAAAGGCGGTGACGAAACCACATATTCCTTACCGCCCAACCGGGCAGAAATAAATTTTAGCAAAATCAAAATAAAATTGGTCCCAAAATTGAAAAATAACATCCGCGGGGAATTGCAGGAAGAGAAACGAAAAATCCTCCGAGAAGTGGGTTAACCCTATTCTTCATTAATGGAACAAGGGCTTTGATACAAAAAAGTAAGCTTTTTGCCACTTCAGATCCGGAGGATGGAACTGGTTACCCAGCTCGGTTCCTGCTTCAGTCGCCCATATTAAGCGTTCGAATTGAACTCAAATGAGCTTAAATGAATCATTAATTTCTCCAGTGCCGCTTGATTAATTAAAATCTTTAAAGCTGACATCGTCTCCTAGTCCAAGTTTGCCATCAAAAACTACATATTCGAAATGGGAGACAAGCGGAAACGAAGCCAATTTGCAGCCGAAGATGAGGTGGTAGAGGCTGCAGAGGTGAAGCAAAAGAAGCCCAAAAAGGTCAATAAAGAGAAGGAGAAAAATGAAAAAAAGAAAGAAAACAAGCAGAAACAAAAGGATGAAGTCCAGGCCGATGCTGGTGCTGTGGCTAATGCCCTTGGTATGGACACGGAAATGAAGGATGTGGATGAGATACCAGCTGTGACAAATGGTACTGTAACAAAGGAGACAGAAGAAAAGGCAAAGAAGGCGAAGAAAGAAAGGAAGAAAAAAGAAAAGAAAGCCAAGAAGGGTGATGACGGTTCGAACGATGTAAAGGATAAGAAAAAGAAGAGGAAAGAAAAGAAGATAGGTTTAAAGGACTCGGAGAAAGGAGTGGTGGAGGTGGCGAACGAGAAAGAGGAGATCCAAGAACAGGTTCCCGAGGTATTAGAGAACCGAGAGACAGAAGAGAAGAGAAGCAAGAAAGATAAGGTTGGAAAGGAAAAGAAACAGAAAAATGATAAGAAAGCCAAAAAAGAGAAGGACGAGAAAGTCACTATGTCAGCATCACAACAAGAAAACGGACATGGGGAGGTGACCAATAACTCAATTGGTTCCGGAACACCCACTGCCGGGGAGCATGATATCGGCAAAAGTCTTGACTTTCCAAACGGAAACGACGGAGAGAAAAAGAACCAGAGATTCATCGTTTTCATCGGTAATCAACCACCATGTCCCCAAATTATCCGCCTCCGCATCTCTTTGTGTCATGCTAACTTGAGTATCCAGGTAACCTACCATTCCACACGACCCTAGACGCGGTACAGAAGCATTTCTCTAGAATCGGCCCGAGCCATGTCCGCTTCCCAAGCGAGAAGGGTGGGAAGAAGGGGCGTGGCTTCGCCTTCATCGAATTCGACCACTACGATCGCATGAAGACGTGCCTAAAACTATACCACCACTCTTCGTTCGACGATGGCCAGAACCCTCCCAGAAAAATCAACGTTGAACTAACGTGAGTGTTTCCCCCTTAACCTAAGTCCAATATTGTCTGTTTACTTGCCTGCCCAACCCGAAATATGCTAAATCCTTGAGACTTCTACCAGTGCCGGAGGAGGTGGTTCCAAATCGGAGACCCGCAAAGCACGCATATTTGAGAAAAATACGAAACTTTCCGAACAGCGGGCTCGTGCTGCTAAGGAAGCTCAGAAACAGAAACAGAAACAGAAACAGAAACAGAAAACGGAGGCTGCTAAGACGGCGGATGTTACTGAAACGGCGCCGGTGAAGAGCGACCTAGATGATGTACATCCCAGCCGAAGGGGCAGGGTTCCAGGCGTCTAGGACTAGAACAGATTGGAGTTTTACTTTTGTTATCAAAAGTTGAGTACGTAAAAAGTGCGAACTACACTACTAGATGCCGAATGGACATTGAGAGTGATACATGTCTTCTTTGATTGCTTTGCGTATTACTAGTTTTTTTTAAAAAACGCTTTCTACCCTGTTGGTATGGACGTTGATATTGGATTATTTGACTTACTCTATTTCTTCCCTTTATTCCCGCTGCTCCTTAGCTGTCAGGGGTTATATAGGAGCGTAGCAACTAAACCTTTTCACAAAAAAACATTTCACAGAGCAGTACGGTCAACTCTATTGTTTCCCATATCTACGTCTGGTGTCTGGATTCGTTTATACCAATCGCGGTTACATGACATCACCTATAGTTTTCAAATCGGCAGCTAGAACCGCTGACGCCGTTGTATCAAGCGTCGAATATCCAATCATCACTAAAGAGGCAGAGCAACTGTGCCACAACTCCATACATACCAAATGTGTATTGGAGTGGGGAGGTTGTCGATGTCCTTGCCCCCCATGCCCGCAACTGCGGCCTGACAGAAGCCTACATAGGCGTTGCTGTATTCCAGCGATATGTGATTTAATTATAACGACAAGATCCCAAATATATTCTCCTTTTATACATACTCCTGAGCCTTGGTCTTCGTCGAAGTCTCAAATGGTCCTTCGCTCTAGCTAAGGCTCCGCACAGCACAATGCCGCCAGTTATATGTCATGCCTCCAACGGCTGCTACATCCCAGCAACCCTTCCTTGCAATATCAGTGGCAATATCCCAACATTTTATATAGCTGCAATACCGAAGTGTCCGATTCCTCAGAAGATGACCATGACTATCACCCCGGGTACCACAGAAACAGGGCCAATGGGTTCTTTCACTCGTCTCATTCTCACCTCCTACACCTAGCCCCAATTCTATTGACACAACTATATGTTCAATGTAATCTCCCAGCCTCTGTCCTCACCAGACTGGATATTATCCAGACATGACCAGATCACGCCGATCAGCAGTCCCAGTCGTAGCATCTACACTGAGGAATACACTGGTACAAATTGGGACGGGATATAGTTCCAGCCAAATCCATCAGCCGGTGACTTCAAAGCAGATATCGCTACCACCACTGGCCTCACCACTTCCTCCAATTTCAACTACTTTCAGGCAAGGCCGCAAGACAGCCGGTGCCCAACACGCCAGAAGTCCTGGCAGTTCAGTAACTAGACCAGGCCATACTGCCGCCAACATCACCGCTCTCAGTACCACCCCTCCAAATGAATCAGAACCTCCCCTCCCGCCGTCACTACCCTCAAACCACTTCATGGGAACTGCGGAATTTTGTATCTTTCCCCTTGTCCAGCAGGAAAGCACCGCGACGGCCACAATTATCAAGGTGCCCTAATCTCGAAAGACGTCGCAAGAAGCGAAGGAGATCGCGGAGAAGGAAACAAGGACTTCAAACTGGTATGGTACAAGGCACAGTGCGGGGATAACCTGCGCGATCGCTGCTTTGTGCTCTGGGAGGAGAAGTGCCTTGGCAGGCTGGACCTGGATTTGGGTGTTGGTTCCGGTGTGGATGAGGTGACATGTCTCTTTTGTCGTGAGTGGTGGGTGGCAAGGAATGGAGACGAATTAAGATGTAATGGATACAGAACGGATGCAGTGTAAAGCTTGCAAGTTTCTGTTCCTGTGAAAGGTAATAAAATAAACATACTAAAATGGGGTCATGAAAGCAGTCAAAAAATTCGATTTCATACTCCGTTACGCCTAATAATAATAGCTGAACATGTGGGTCAACAGCAGAGCACTAGGGGGAAAAAAAATTGACAAGGTGAAAAATGAAAAGGAGACTAAATTGCAATCAAAATTGGAAAAATAGAATAATAAGATGGTGATGTTAAAGAGATTGTGATTTTTTTCCTTCAGCTTTTCTAGGTTCTTAGTCACGGGTATTTTCAATCACTTATGGAGAAAAATAATGCGCAGCGGGGATAATGGAGGGGCAGTATCTGGTGTTAGGAATTGAGGACGTGTTCGAGTTGGAAGTTTCGTTAAACGAGGCAGATAGCTGGCGGTTGACAGGATATAGATAATGGACACGATGAAGATGTAAAACAGTAAGGTACGGTATGTAGAAGAGAAGATAGCAAAGAAGGTGTTCATGAACAAGATTGATGAATGTTAATATAGAAAGGGGTGGGTGTATGATGGGGGTGATGCATGGAGTAAAAGGATAAACCTGGAATGTCGAATGGGAAACCTCAAAGAGACAAAAGTAGAGCAGTCACAAATTGCGGCTGATCAGAGAGGGCCTGAGCAGATAATTTTGGGGGATGGGAGAGGGGGGTAAGGGGATAATTGAATTAGTTCGATCGTATTAATTCAATGGAGCCCAACGCATACGAATTAAGCAGGATATGGAGTGAGGGAACCTGGGGAGTTTGAACAAAAAAGAAAAGGAGACAGGGGTAGTAAACAGAGCTTGTTTTCACAATTGTATATGTCGGAAAACCATGGCCACCTTTTCCAAGGTTCGACCCTTGGAGGGGAGGGTACAAAGACCAAATTGCACCTGCACCGTGTTTCGCATATATGTCAAGATGTCGCTTGCAGAAAAATAAATAAATAAAAATAAAAGAAAAGAAAGAGAAAGAAAGAAAGAAAAAATCCTGGATGTGTCACTGCATATTTCGACAAAGGTGGTTGTTAAATAGCGGATATTCGAAAGTGAAACGATGGATTGGAGAAAGTCAAAAGGGCGCTGGATGGATTTAGCCGGTGCATTCTTGGAGAACTCCGGGGCCATCGTAGACCAGTAAAAATGTTGGTGCGCGAGGGACTCAAGTACGTAAGTCCCATATTAAGGCTATACCGTTTCTCCTCTAAAAAACAAATCCTTGGACGGTGTATTTCACCGTCTAATCTCAACTTATGCGAAGAGACTGAGAAAGATATAGACTGTTCGGAATTATTTAAGTTTATTTCGTCGTGCGCGACTCAGAAATGAAATAAGAGAGAAAGATTGAAAGTCGAATTAGGACAGAATCCCAATTGTAAATGGGAATAGATAGCTGAAGTCGGAAGAAAACTTTTAACATGCTCAGGGGATATCATAGGGTGTGGAGATGAGTGGGAGTTTCTCTTTTGCATGCGTTCTATTGTATCTCAGGCAGCCATGCAGTCGGACGAAGATTTCTGCCGTGTTGAGGGGGTGGGTATGAGAGCTTTAGAGGATTCTGCATTTGGACTTTTTTGGTTTGACAATGGGACGTGGGTTCAGTACGGCACTGATGGAGAATTAATTTAATTAGCATTCCGCAGTGGTCGTCAACGGACGGAAAATAGCAGTGGTGGTTGAGACATACCGGATAGCTTCGTCAAAGACACTCTTCAAATTTCGCTGTGTAAGAGCAGAGCACTCGAGATACTTTTGTGCCTTGATCTCCTTAGCAACTGCAAGGGCCTGTTCATAGGAAACTGGCTCCATCTTCTTCGCGCGAAGATTCTCAGCAGTGGCTTTATCATCTCGCAGATCCAGCTTGGTCCCGACGAGAATTATGGGCACATTGGGTGCGTGATGTTCGATTTCTGGATACCACTGAGAAACATGTCAATACCAGTGCGAGTGCGCAAGTGAGAGACTGTGGGGATAGAGTATATTTCTCAGCGCACCTTCGCTTTTACGTTATCGAACGATGGCGGGCTAACGATAGAAAAGCATATGAGGAATACGTCGGTCTGTGGGTATGACAAGGGGCGCAGTCTGTCGTAATCTTCCTGTCCAGCAGTATCCCAGAGTCCAAGACTGATTGGTTTCCCGTCTACCATTACACTGGCGGAATAGTTATCGAACCTGTGTCCGGTTAGAGATATCAATCAGGGAGAAACGGGGTCCTAGAAAACATACACAGTAGGAATATATTCTCCGGGGAAGGCGTTTGTGGTGTAAGAAATAAGCAGACAGGTCTAGTTTCAAGTTAGCAAGAAGGGAGACATATTTTTCGCGTTGCTTTATAAAATAGCCGAAGGTGAAGGAAGGGTTAAGGAAATCTCACCTTGCCAACAGCACCATCACCCGTAACAACGCACTACGAAGTGGAAAAAAAGGATAGTTAGCACCGGTCAAACCAGGATATCGACAAAGATCAAAACCAGGAGGCTGTAGCTAGCTGTATGCCACCAACCTTCAGAGACTGAGTAGCGGGTCCAGAGGCCATCTTGACAATATTTCAGCCGAGAAAATATAATAAAAAATATATACTAAAAGTGTATATTCCAAGTAACAAATGTCGAGATGTCTGAGAAGTTCAAAGGAAGCCGGAAAATATAGATGAATAAAGGAGAGCGAACGTATAACCTAAAAGATCAAAATCGAGGGTGAAACGGGTGGCAGGTTCTGAGCAAAGGACGAATATAATAGAGCGCCAGCTCAATCCCCAAGAGGATGCGGTAATTCCAAGAGGGTCTTCTTGTCTCTTTCTCTCAAAAGAAGAACAAGATACGGGTGGTCGAGAGTGAAGGACTATATTTATTTTTATTTATTATTTATTTTTTATTTTTATTTTTTATTTTTTTATTTTTTATTTTTTATTTTTTATTTTTTTTTTTTTTTTGAACCGGGGTGTCAAGGGTTTAAGTGATTTCTCTCCCGAAGGTTGTATAGTGATGGATATTTTGAAATCTTGCTTGGTATGAAAAGAGTGGAAGAGTTATCTGTATATTTGACTAACGGGATAGTAGTAACCAGGGAGGGCTCAGTGATCGGTTCGAGGTAGACTTGGAAGCTGGAGGAAAAGAAGCGTTCGCACGGCGAGACCAATTGACGTTGGATGGAGGAGGGTAGTCTTTGATATGAATAAAGAACGGGAGCTCTTGTGGCTTAGTGGAGAGAAGGGCCCTGAAGGGGTGTGTGTGTTGAGACAAGGATAGGTTGCTGACACAGATAATGATTGGTTTGGGGAGGGCTTTAGATGTACCGAGGCGGTAGTTTACGTCAAACAGAGGGAAGTAAGAAGGACAGAACCACACAGAAGTGCAGAGGAAACTTAGTAGTAGTGATTGATAGAGTGAATGCAGCAAATGCAGGCCAGAGTCGTGTGCGGCAGGCTGGCGTACAGAGAGAAAACCTTAACGGATAAGATGATGTCCAAAAAAAGATAGGAGGGCTGATAGATAGATAGGGCTAGGGAGGTTGTTTGTGGTGGG